CAATCCTACTTCCGTAGTGATACTGCCTCGGAAACCCAAGGAGGGGTCGCTATGAGTCGGGGCCGACTCGACGGCACATAACAACAACAACAATCCACAGGTCATCTGGGCATTAAAAGCTAACTAGCTGCCGTTGGGTTGACTCTGACCCGTAGCAACCCCTGTGGTCAGGGCAGAACTGTGCTCCACGGGATTTGCAGGAGCTGAGTCTTTGGAAGCAGATCAGCAGGCCTCCGTGGGAGGCACCTCCCGGCGGACTCAAACCTGCAACCTTTGCTTCGCCAAGTACTTGGGAAGCCCAGTGCTGTGTCCACCTCCAGGGACTCCACAGGCAAATAACTGTGTAGACTTAGATATTCTTTTCTCCTTCTTTTTTGCCTTTTCAAAGAGATTTTTTGCATAAACAAATGTACATTTCCTCCTTTTTATGCAGTTTGTACGATCCTGTTAGCATGTTTGCCTCCTTTTTTGATTTAACACTTACATTTGCAGTCTTTCAGGGTCAGCACATCAAGCATTCCCTCAGTGTCTCTCACATCGATGTAGCGTTCTGCTGAGTGGATGTTGTGTGACTGATTTTAACAAGTCCCCTCACTGATAGGCTTCACAAGGTTTTGTAAAGGCCATGCCTATGCACCAGATAGATCTCGTCCTGGCAAAAATACTCACTGCCGTCAAGTCAGTCCCAACTCATAGCAACCCCTCCTTGGGTTATAGAGGTGGTATCACTACAGAAGTAGATTGCTCAACCTTCCTTCCGAGGAGTAGCTGGTGGGTTTGAACCACCAGCCTTCTAGTTAGCAGTCAGGTGCCTTAGCCACTATACCACCAGAGCTCTTCCTATACTGGCAGCAGGAATATAAAGTCTTAGGAACAGAGTTGTCGAGCCAAAGAGCTTACCCATTTGCCACTTGATAGGCCAGTGACCCCAGGAGATGTGGTACTAGTTTATACTTCCACCAGCAATGGGCACCCGGGAGAAAGAGTCTTTTTGACAAATCTATAAACATTTAAGGGAACTCCGGTGGCACAGTGCCTAAGGCACTTGACTGCTAACCAGAAGGCTGGTGGTTCGAACCCACCAGCCACTCCTCAGAAGGAAGGTTGGGCAATCTACTTCCGTAGTGATACTGCCTCGGAAACCCAAGGAGGTGTCGCTGTGAGTCGGGGCCAACTCGATGGCACATAACAACAAACAACAACATAAACATTTAAAATGCATAGTTGACTGGAAGTGAACTCAGAAGTTTTTGAAAGCTTAAAAAAAATAATAAAATAAAATAAACACCTCACTGCTATTAAGGGGATTCTGGGTTTCCAAGGCAATATCTCTGCAGAAGTAGATTGCCCAGAGTGGTGACTGGCATCTTAAAAGCTAGCAAACTGCCATCTA